TATAAAAGTATTGGTTTTATCATGGTATCAAACATTTTAAGACATGTTTTTATTGGTATGTATGTATCTGAGAATAATAACTGTTTCATTTTGAAGCATGCTTTCATAGCTCTATTTTTAAGATCTTCTTGAGCCAAGTCAAATTTACCATGTGTTTTCAATTTAATTCCAAGATAAATGTATGTTGACACTCTTTCTAGTTCTACACCATCTATGTGAAAATTTTGGTTTTTAATGTGTTTGTATATAAAAACAAAACAACGGACGGACATTTTCGTTGACAATATGTTCTAAGCTTCTGCTAATTTCTGAAATTCAAATACTGACTGAACACTCATGCATACATTAGAGTATATCTGTGATATCTGATATATTTACCTGTCTGGAACTCGACCTTTGACTTGTTACCATGACAGCATGATATATCGCACGATGTTATAACAAACAACCTGCATGTTTTGGGCGTATACATGTATTATGCCGCATTATGAGCACAAATTGTATACATACTGTAAACACATATTTTAGTGTCTGTATTAGGAATCACGACTGTACGAAGCTTTCCCGTGAGATTCGTTCAAAAACTAGTGACTACGTAATCCCGCCGAGTAGTTTGCACTCCATTGGCAGATAGCATGTTTACTTTAAAACGCCTTGATATTTGACAGAAATGTAAGACTTTTGTAATGTTAGTTGACGAGCTGCAGAAGTTTATCTGTAGTTTATAAATAAAGACGAAATACTGTAGAAGTTTATTTGCGAGGAACTGGTGTATAATCCCTTGGGTCGAGTCGAGTACACAACTTCTTCTTGTTGTACCACACTTCACAAATACGATTTTTCCATATTTTGTTCATTATTTTTTTCTCCGAATGCAAGCATTCTGTTGTTTAGTACCTCGTTAATTGTACACAATGATCACGTCTAATAAGTACATTTGCTATTGAGGTGTGTATATTTTGTGGGTCACAGTCAACTTGAAAATTTGCTTCAAATATTTTGCAAAAACGTTGAAAGATTTGTATCTCAAATTTGACCCGACATATATTTCATTTATCTCGTTAACCTCTAGGTTTGACAAGGTCACAGAAGTTACAGTTGTCTGTTATTACCCCGGGTATATAAGACTTGATTCTGGTTCAAACAATTTCAGACAGGCTTATATATCGTTTACAGATTCCATGTTCCCAAAGTGATGTAGACAATTGTTGTTGATGGTGCAGGGAGAAATTCTGCATACAAATACAGCGTTCATATTAATGGCGCCCTCTAATTTACTTAGTGAGTTTCATGCCACGTGCATTGTTATTGGTGTTATCCAAGATTTTGTAAAATATGCGCGAATGTTTCTTTTAAAATTTCAGACCAAACACAAATGTCGCCAAGGGAGAATAACGCCGGCCTGAAAGTCCAGTAGAAAATACCAGGAGCACTTCCTCTGAGTGTTCTGGAATGAGTTGGCGGTGAATATCCCAGATACTAGTATGTAACGCACAATACAATAGCGCGACGCCACGATTGTGGTATAGAAGGAGCTAACACGGCGGGACATCGGGGGATTGTTTCGGGCTACGTCCACACAACACCCCATTTACCGTGATGTTTCCCACAATTAGTTAAACTATAATTAAAATTACATTCCTCTAAAAAACAATTGAGTTTGAATAAATAGTAAACAAATTGCATTCCTATAAAGGATTAGAATTAAATAAATTGTAATAAAATTGCATTTTTATATAGAATCGTAATTCATTTGAGTTTAATTAATACATGTATTTCTTTTTAATAAGATCAGAAATCAAAAATCACAAATTTAGTAGAGGCCTTTATAAGGGACTGATTTTATTGTCGGCATTTGAGAAATTTGCAAAAACGTTTGTCATCGAAAACTCCCAAAAGTTTTATAAGGGAAGTAGAATACAAGCAAGCATGACTGAGTAGTAGCCAAACAACCGATGCCATTGGACACACGCGTGATATGCGTGTGTTT